TTAAAACATTTTTCCTGTCCTTGGACTTCACATTAGTGGAATTGTGCAGCAAACAATCATTTGTGTGTCCTAGCTTGTTTACAATGATTGGAGGGACAACCCTGTTGTATATATTGGTCATTCACTCTGCTTTATTACTAAGTCTAGCTGCACTGTGTAAACACACTACAACTTGTGTATCCATTCTTCTATTGATGGACATTTGTGTTCTTTCCATTTGGGGCTATTATAAATAAGACGACTTTGAACATTCTTGTGTAGAGCTCTGTGTGGAGCTGTATATTCACTTCTCTTGGGTAAGTACTTGAAAATACAATTGTCCATCATGGAATAGACACATATTGAACTTTTTTAGAAGCAAGGTCTTTGTATTTTAATACTCCATCTATAAGGAAAACACAAAACCAAAGCATCAATTGTTGTATCATACTGAAAGTAGCCAATGAATTAGAGTTCCATAAAAAAAAATTTTAGGGCCTGGAACTGCAGCTCAGTGATAGGGCACTTGCTTGGCATAGATGGACAATGCCCCAGATTTAACTACAGCATCTCTCTTACTCTCCTTTCTGACCCATCATAAAGAATGCCCTACTAGTTACTGAAAGTATGACTCTGTCTCTTTCCTACAAAGCCCTTCTTCTAGCTGGCTGCTGTTCTCACTTCCTTTACTTGCCCTATCCAGTCTTAAGAACTTGACTTAGTCATTTTCCTCTTTAGAAGACCTTTCATACTAACTTCTTTGGATCCTCATCAGCCTGAATGAAGTGTTTTGCTTCTGTGTTGTCACAGAAACCTGTGCTTTTCCCCTAATATGGTTTGGTTATTTGTCCATCGACTCCAATGGGCTGGCTATAAAAATACTTTTGTTCTTTTATGTGTACAAGTGCTTTGCTTACATTTATGTTTGCATACGACATATATATACCTGGTGCCTGCCGTGGGTAGAAGGGGGCATTGTGTCCCCTAGGAGTCAAGTCACAGATGGTTCCAAGATGCTATGTGGATGCTGAGAAATGAATCTGAGTCCCCTGTAAGAGCAACAAGTGCTTTTAACCACTAAGTCAACTCTGTAACAGCCTGCCCTCACTTAACTCGATACAGGCTTCTCAAAGACGCTAACACCTAGCAAAGTCCCTGATGTTGAGTAGGTACTTAACAAATATTAGTTAAATCAAAGAATGAATACTTGAGAAGGTTTGATATCATTTTAAAGGATAGGGGAAGTTGTTTTTAGAGGTCATGTTTTTCAGGTGAAAATATTCTATAGAAGTACAATGTCTGGAGTTCAGGATCTGAGCTTAATGGGCAGGAAATGGGGTGGGGTCCCATAGTTTATCAGAATGATTGCAAGTTTGGGATTCAGGGCGAACATTTGAGGAAAAGATGTCATTTTAAAAAGTAATAGAAAGACTGAAAGAAGGCCAAACTGCAGTAGCTCACAGGGTGACGGCGAAGGGCCAGAAGAAGAGAGAGTTCTACAGACAGCTAACTCATGTTTTGGTGTTGAGAATCCGAGGATAACAGTGAAGATGCTGATGAGTTAGACGGTGATCTGCTGCTTTAACTTTCGTCTTTAGTAGCTCAGGAAAGAAAAAACTATCCTATTTTCAAATTGAGGAAGGCAAGTTATCAGAGAGATGGCAGTCTGTGTTAGATATGAAAGGGTACAAGTGATACGGGTGTAGTTTTAAAGTGTTATTGAGGTATCAGTCCATGAAGTCACAGTTTGGGGGTTTGTTTTGTCTGTCAATCTCTGTGACGTTGTAGTTTCCTTTCAAAGCACTTATTAGGTTCAGGACTCCAAGGACATGAAGGGTCTTAAAGGAAGTCTTTCTAGGTAGAGAGAGGAGCAGAGGGCAGGCTGTGTTAGAAGTCTGGATTCCCCCGAAAACTGCATGCTCCCCATCTGGTGTTAAAGAACTACACAGCACGAGGGAGACCGTTTCATGGGTTCTAGGCAATGACGTCATGGAGTCAGCTTACAAAGCACCCTGCACAGCACCTCCAAGACTTTTCTTGTTAGTGAGGACACAGTTTAGACATGATGTCATCTCCACTGTGACTCCTCAGAAGGCGAATAAGTTCGGTTCAACAAAATGTCACATACAACTCTCATCTTCTTCCTTCCCGGAGCTCTCACAATGCTTATTAGCAGTCATTCGTATCAAAGCTGCTAAAAAGTTCTACAGCAATGAACTCATTTCGTTTTGACTTGCACCACCACTTTCGATCTTCTGGAAATGAAAATCACTGAAGCCTTACTTTGAGGTGAGCTCTGTGCATCTGACTGGACTGTCTTTGAAAACTTCTGTCTACTTAGTCACCGGCTTTTACTGACAGGATCACTCAGGGGGCTTGCTTCCTTATTTCAACTATTTAAATGTCGTAATACGTTTTACACTTCGGTTGACGAGGGCCATCTGGACAAGCTTGTCCCACATAATGCTAGTTGAGTCGGCCGATAACCTGGGGACTGGCTGACAGCTGAAAGGCTGGGTTTAACTTTGGATGCTGGCACGGCATCTCTGTGTATCTGGTCTTGGACCTTCCAGCTCTCCCCTCTCTGTCCAGCATGTTCTCTGGCTCACAGTATCCAAAAGCACAAAATCAGGAGGCTTCTTGAGCTTGAAGCTTAAAGATCTTAAGCTTTAGGTTCAAAGTGGGTACACGCTCAATTCCATCACATTCTGTTGGCTACAGGGTCAGCCTAGGTTCAATGGGAATAAAAATAACTCCAGATTTCTGTAAAGCAAAAGAAGATGAGATAACCAAGAATTTATAGCTATATTCAGTCCATCACACATTCCATGAGTCTTAGTATCCTGTGAGATAAGGGACCTGCTCCCAGACACTGGAAACATCCCCAGGTATTGCTAAATACCCAAGCACATTGTCACCACAGAAATGTCTGTATCTGCTGATACCCAAGAGCTGACAGGACACAGATGTAACATAGTAAATGGGCAACTTGGGGGGAAAATGATCCTTTACATCCTCTTACTACCTGTTTATATAAGTAAAGTTTTGTGAGCTGTTTACCTCTTCATTCGTGTGTCTTCTTAGATGGCTCCATTTGTAAAGGTCTAAGTTCACAGTTGACTAGTCTGTGACTAAGACCCTTGGGATTACAAAATCTGAAATATGAACTATCTGGCCTTTTATATTAAAAATTTGCCAACTCCTGTTGCAGATTTATAAGCATTATAAAATGAAAACCACTTTATGGTCAGATTACTCTCTGCATGCATTAAAAAAGGTAGGATATTAGCAAGCTGTAAAACAGTCACATGTAGACAAGTTACTTTCTGTTGTTCTTCATTTTCTCTTAGGCCTGATTATTTTCTGTTTTTTTTTTTTTTTTTTTTTTTTTTTAGTCCATTTGCCTGTGGGTTGACATGGTTATCTGAAATTTCTGATTATTACAAATGAAACTGCTATGAATATTTGTGTTTGAATGGATACATATGTGTATACATACATGTATACATATACACACCTATGTATACATATATATGCATGTGTATATACAACACACACACACACACACACATATATACTTTTGTAAATGTTTAACTTTTTAAGAACCTAGCAGAATGCTTTTGAGACATCCTTACCAGCCTGAATGAGCATTCACATTCCACACTCGCTACATGAGTCCTTTATTCCATCAAAATGGCTATGCAGCAGCCACACGGTGGCTTTAACTTGCATTTTTCTAAGGACTAGTGATGTTATGTTAGGCATCTTCTCATAATTCTTTTGTTTGTCAATCTACTTCTCTGGTAAAGGGTCTGTTGAGATCTGCGTCCAAGTAAAAAAGTTAAAGTTTTCCTTGTTGTTCAGTTTTGAACATTCTTTAAATGTTATGCACAGCAGGGTTTTGATGTTTGTTTACAGGGAGGTATTTTTGTACATGTTTTGGGGGAATAGTGTCTCATGTAGTCCAGGATTCTCTCAAACTCACTATGTAGCTGGAGTTGATCTGCCTCTGCTCCTTGAGTGCTGGGATTCCAGGAGTGTGCCACCATGCATGGCTGAATACTACATCAGATACATGACTTACAAAATCTTTGTTCCAGTATATGAGTTGTCTTTCTTTTCAGAAAACTTCAGTTTTCATCAATTCTAATGTAGTGATTTTTTTTCCTTCTGTGGATTATGCTTTGAGTGTCATCTTGTAAATCTTGAATCTATCACATCTTCTTTATATGTCTGAAACACATATATCTCAGTTTCTGCATTTAACTCTACAGTCGCTCAGTTATTTTAAAAGTAAGGTAGAAGACATAGAATAGGTCCAAGGTCACCGACTTTTATGGCATGTGACCACTCTTCCGGCAACAGTTATTAAAGATTGAGAGGAACATTTTTTGTCCACTGTGTTGAATTTGCTAGCATGGCTTTGTTCGTTTTCCTCTATTATGAACTCTGTTCGGTGATTTTTCTCTTTTGAAGATCACCTTGCACTGTTTGCACTGATTATAAAGTCCAGAAATGCTGCTCTGTTAACTTTATTCCTGGTTTTTTGTTTTGTTTTGTTTTTGAGACAGGGTTTCTTTTTTGTGTAGCTTTGGAGCCTTTCCTGGAACTTGCTCTGTAGACCAGGCTGGCCTCGAACTCACAGAGATCTGCCTGCCTCTGCCTCCTGAGTGCTGGGATTAAGGGCGTGCGCCACCACAGCCTGGCAACTTTATTCTTTTCAAAGCTTTCATGGACAGTCTAGATCCTTTACATTTCTGTTTAGAATCTGTTCCTTACTTTCTGCCTCCACAGCTGGGCCTCTCCGCCTGAGGTCCCCTCTGCCTCAAGAACACGTGTTGACACAAGTTCATTCCACACGCGACAGAGTGCCCTGGAGTTCGTCGCCACAGCAACTCTTAACTGTTGTGGCATCAAAGATGGAAAGTAACTTGCCAGCTTTCTGGTTCCTCTGTGGCACTTGGATAAGGTGTGACCTAGACAGATGTTCAGAAGGTCCCAGTAAAACTAAATCCCTGTTTATCACTTGTCAACAGACTCCTCATCTTTTTTTTTTTTTTTTTTTCGCTTCTAGCTATCTTTTCTCTGTATTCCCTCTTTGCTCTCAGGACCACTGCATTCTAATTCTTATCTCAGGGCCTTTAGGAAGGATCTGATCTATGACAGTACCAGGGAGAGTTCTACAAGACAGAACTATAGAGTGAAAATCTAGAATTTGTATAGTGCATCAAAGTTCCTCCATGTACGAGAAAGTCTAAAATGCCAGCAGAGCTTCTCATTTAGAGGGAGAGCAGAGGACAGATAATAACAAAATCCTAGTCCAAATTCACCAACAGAATCCACCTATATGCGCTACCCCAGCTGCCAAGTACTTAGCTGTTGGCAGAACCCTCTTATTGGTTCCCTGACCCATAGAATTAGTGATGTCATAGTAGAAAAACCAAGGGGAGACCACTGATGTTACTCTACCTTCTTTCTTGTTGAACGAAGCAGTAACCGGGGCTGTGAATAATGTCTTCAAAGGCTGAAAGGACACAAGAGGTAATGATTACTCTGCTATTCCTACGTAATTCACCTTTATGGCTTCTAGAAAGTAACAGGTAGAACACAGAGGATCACCGTGAACCACTGGAAAGATAACCAAGCCATAGTCTCCATCATAACTGCTGTCCTGTCCCTGATAGTTCTCTTAAAACAGATTACTGTGGCCTCTGACACTTGATATGCAGCTATTGATCTGGTGCATGCCTTTTAAAGCTCCATTAGGAGGGATGACTCATATGCTGAGTTCACCTGGAACACTGGCCACACATTTATTTCACTGTCTCCTATTTTATCTGTAGCTTCTCTCTTCATCTGCTTTCATTTTCTCAATCCTTCCGTTTCTTGGATCGTTGTCTGGGTACCTCCAACTTAGTTGGCCTATGGCCTATCCATGGCCAATAAAGTCTCACAGGTGCTGGGATTCAAAGATGAACGCAAAATCCAAGTCATGCTCGCCTGGGTTGTTTCCAATCAATTATCCTACAGTTCTGATCGTGGCTGTGAAAAAGATCTTTCTGGTGCTTTTTGGCTTACTTAGAGGTAAGCCAGGGGTTAGCTAGAGGCCTTCTTTGCCCTTTGGGGAATCTAGCTGAGATTGGGGTCCAACCAAAGAGAGCAGAGCCATGCACACAGAGTGACCGAATCTTAGTGACAATGTTGAGACACTCTGGTCCCAGGTTCCTGAAATTCTCCTAAGTTCAGTCCTTCCCATGCCCTCATTTTTGATCATTTTAGGTTCAGTGTCATTCATTTGCATGAGTTTTATGATTTTTTATTGGGCTTTTACTATTTTCCTTATTTTTATATCTATTTATTTATTTGTTTTTTTTTTTTTCTTTTTTTTTGAGACAGGGTATCTCTATGTAACAGCTCTGGCTGTGCTGGAACTCACTCTGTAGACCAGGCTGGCCTTGAACTCACAGAGATCCGCCTGCCTCTGCCTCCCAAGTGCTGGGATTAAAGGTGTGGACCACGGCCGCCTGGCCTTCCTTATTTTTAAAGGAAAACAAATGAACTAGGTTAAACTGGGCTTAGAGAGCTTAAGCAGCTTACTATATGGATGTAGCTTTTCTGCTTTGCTTCTCTTTGTATTAAAAAACAGACCACAAACAACACAGGGAGGGAAAGGTTGCTTTGCCTTCACATGGGACGTCACTGAGGGAAGCCAGCGCCGGACAGCTGCCCACTGGCTTGCTCCCCATGGCTTGCTCAGCCTGCTTTTCTTATACCACCCAGGACCATGTGCCCAGGGGAGACACTGCTCAAAGTGAGCTCATCCCTCCTACATCAATCCTTAATAATAATAATTTAAAAAAGAGCTCCACAGATATGCCCACAGGACAATCAAACAGAAGCAATTCTTCAATTAAGGGTCTTTCTTCCCGGCTGACTCCGGCTTGTGTCAAGTTGACAAAAGTACCCAGCAGAGCTTCCTTCCCTCTTAGTTGAGAGATAAGACGAGAAACGAAGAAAAAAAATGACAATATACAGTCCTTTAGTTATATTTCATTTAATTAGGATTCTTAAGTTTTAAAGCATTTTTCTTTTTAACTAAGACTTACCAAAAAGATATTTTTTTCACGGCAGAAAATCAATGCACTATATCTAGAACATTCAGCCCTCCCCGGATTTATTGGCAGTTGTTTTGTAGGTTGTATTATTATAAATATGAGTGGCTCAGGCATTCTCAAGAAACAAATTGGAGATTTAAGTGCTTTATGAACCAAAGGATGAAGGCCCCGGCTTCTGTTCTGTATTTGAAACACAGTTTTTCTACACTTGAGCCCAGAACTGCTCTAAAACCAATAAAGAAGGCTCATGACACTCAAATGGGTGCTACTTACGAAATCTAGTGGTTTTGGAAAAAAATACATGTATGTACTGTATACTTCAAAATAACTAAATAACAGTATTCTTAATGGGAAAAAAATCCCATTTTTTTCCTGGAACTGTGAGTGGAAAACTCAACTGCATACCATTCTGTTTCAAGGACCTGTAATCTTAGACCATTGAAGAGTTCCCCTTTCCAAGGAATGTTTCTCTGTGTGGTTTCTAAACCTCCTGACTTTTTGCAAAAAATTCAGCATACCCCGAGAAGCACAGCAGAAACAGCGGTGTAGAAAGAGGAGAGGTCTTTGCCGCTTTTTCATGCCTGCCGCTGACTTTGTTTGGTTTTGCCAATCCCGTTTGCCTCATTTGATTTCACTATAATCGTCAGAACAAAACAGAGAGCTAAACCAGGCTTAGTGGCTCAAGCCTGTAACACCACCTACTTGGGAGGTTGAGGCAGGAGGAGTTCAAGGCCTGCCTTGGCTACTGTGTGGATTCAGATCTAATCTGAACAACTTAATGAGACACTCTCTCAAAACTATATGAACACAGTCTCAGGGGACTTCTTTAGTGGCAGAGCATTTGCTTAAAAACCCGAGTCCCAGATTCACCCCCTCCACTGCAAAAGGAAAAAAAAGAAAACAAAACAATAAATAAAAACAAAATGTAGAGAGTCTCAAGGCAGTGATAAGGATTTTCTCTCTTTTAAATTGTTTCTTTTATTCTTGGAGATTATAATGTAATTGCATCATTTCTTCCTTCCCTTTCTTCTCTCCACCTTCTCCCATATACCCTTCTTTGCTCTCTTTCAAATTCATGGCTCCCCCCAAACCCCTGCCGCCACTGTTGTAACACACATACACACTCATACACACTTCCAAAGACACAGGTACAACCTGCTCAGTCTGTGTAATATTTCCTGTACATATGCTTTCAGGGCTGGCCATTAGGTACTGGATAACCAACTGGTGTGCTCTTCCTTAGAGAAGACTACTTCTCTCACTCCCAGCATTCCTTCATTGCCTGTTCTTTGTGTAGGGTTGAGGCCTCCTGGGTCCCCCCCCCCTCCCCGGCCCCCTTTTGCACCAATTTTTTCATGGCTGTTGTTACTGTTCTTGTTCAGCTCATGTTTAGGCAGTCATGTTGGTGAGACTTGATGAGTTTAGCTTCTGACGTTATTAGGAGACACAATCTCGCAGCAAACTCCCTTCTCTTCTGGCTCTTAGAATCTTCCCTCCCAGAATTCTGCAATGGTCCCTGAGCCTTAGTTACAGGACTTGTATTTAGATGTATTAGTTGGGACTGGGCTCCGTAAGTCTGTGTTTTGATTACTTGTGGTTTTCTATAATAGTCCCTGTTGCAAAGAGAGGTTCCCTTGATGCAGGCTGAGGACTGCACATGCCTGTGGACATAAGGATAAATCATATTCAAAGCAACATGAAGATGAGCTTTGCTTTAGACCCAGTCATAGGTACTACAAAAACATGTGTCCATCCAAGTCTTCAGGAGTCCAACACTCTACTGCATTCTTGAAAGGACAGTAGTGGGGCTGGGAATGTAGCTCGGTTGGGAGAGTGCTTACTGAACATGCACAAAGTCCTGGGTTCAACCAACAACAAACAAGGCAAGAGAATCAGAAGTTCAAGGCTATCCTTGACTACCTTATAAATTCTAGGTCAGCCTGAGCAACATAAGACTCTATCCAAAAAAAAAAAAAAAAGACAAAAAGCAATAGTTGATAATGTTAGTGAAATACCACAGCAGTCCATGTGATGTTCATCATGATAAGATTCTCTACCAATGGCTAGACTCCCTATCCCCATATCTCCAAACAGCAGCTCGGGTGACTGTGTGACCCAGGCAGAGTCACATACGGGATATGAGAAAGTTGTGACCCTGACTCAGTGAAGGAGGCAACTCTGAAGCACAGCAGAGGAATCATCTACCTCCCCGAGCCTCAGTTTCCTTTTTGATGCAATAGAAACAGTGATGCCTCTCCTGTGGAGATGTGTGAAGATGGCAGAGTTAAATGTTATTTTAGCCTTTTATTCTTTGTTGTTTAGTCAACGTTCAAAAACAGCGATGCCTCTCCCATGGGGCTGGAGTGATGATGGCTTTGAACCAGTGCTGCTCTTTAGAGAACCTGAGCTCGGTTTCCAGCACCCACACAGGTGGCTCACTACTGCCTAGAACTCCAGCTCTGAGGGATCTGATACCCTTCCCAGCCTCCCAAGACACTTGCACACGTGTGATATCCACTCACACATACACATAAATAAAACATAAATAAAAAAAAATTGAAGACCCTAGAATTCCCCAGTTCTGAAGCATCCCCCTTTCTTGAGAATTATGGAAATGTATTCAGAATCCAAGAGCAGCCACAACTATGGTCACAGAAACAAACAAAAGGAAAAACTCCATGGAAAACTGAAGTCAAATTGCCATCGTTTTTGTTCAAGAGTGAGAAAAATTCCTCTCCACTAACTGAAGACATTAGAAGTGATCTCCTCAACCAGCGATAGAGAAATGGATGAGATCTACATGAGCAAACTGGTGGTGAGGGGGTAATAGAGGGCAAGGGATGGGAGGATGAGAGCTTAGGGGAGTGGGAGGTTAGAGCTGGAATGGGAACAGAGTGGGAGAGCAAGGAATGAGATGATAAATGAAGACACCTAGGGAATAGAGAGAAGCAGAGTCCTAGGGAGGTTCCTAGGAATCCACAAGGGTGACTCCACCATAGACTACTGGCAATAGTCAAGAGGGTGCCTGAGCTGGCCTACTCTAGGGATCAGATGGCTGAACACCCTAACTGTCATCACAGAACCCTCATCCAGTGACTGATGGAAGCAGATGCAAAGATCCATGGCCGGGTCCCAGGCGGAGCTCCAGGCGTCCGATCAGTGAGAGAGAGGAGGGATTCTATAAGCAAGAGAGATATCAAGACCATGATTGGAAAAAGTACAGAGACAACTAGCCAAACTAGCAGAAACACATGAACTGTGAACCAACAGCTGAGGAGCCCCCATGGTACTGGACTAGGTCCTCTGGATAAGCGAGGCAGTTGTTTAGATTGAACTGTTTAGGGGGCCCTCAAGCAGTGGGACCAGGACCTGTCCCTAGTGCATGAGCCAGCTTTTTGGAACCTGGTGCCTATGGTGAGACACTTTGTGCAGCCTTGGTGCAGGGAGGAGGGGCTTGGACCTGCCTCAACTGAATGTACCAGGCTCTGCTGATTCCCCATGGGAGACCTTGCCTTGCAGGAGGTGGGAATGGGGCATTGATTGGGGGGAAGGCTGGGGGACAGGAGGAGGGAGGACAGGGGAATCTGTGGTTGGTATGTAAAATGAATAGAAAATCTCCTAATAACAATAATAATAATAATAATAATGATAAAATTAAAAAAAATAAAAAAGGTCTTCCACTCTCAAAAAAAAAAAAAAGAAAGTGATCCCCATGGCAAGTCACCTGAAACTTCATTGCTCTGCTGCCATGATGTCTTTAAAATTTTTTTAAAGATTTATTTATATTATTATTCCCTATGTGTGTTTTGCTTGCATGTACCTGGTGCCCATGGAGTTCAGAAGAGGGTGTTGAATCCCCTAGAACTGGAGTTATGGATGGTTGTGAGCTGTCATATGGATTCTAGGAACTGAACCCATGTCCTCTGGAAGAGCAACAAGTGCTCTTAGCTTATAAACCACCTCTCCAGCCCCTACCATGATTTAGTGTGGTGCTTCAAGAACACTGGGTCCTTCCTCATCTTCGTTTTCTCCTCAGCCCAGCATCTTTGGGTGGGACCAGTTCTTCCCTGCTCCTGCCCTTGGGGTTTCCTACCTCAGCCCTTGAAGATGCCGGATAAATCAGCACAAGGATAATTACTCCACCAGCCAACCATAGGAGAATCAAGTCATAAAATGTCAAGACACAAATGCAAGATGTCCTTGCCCGTCACCATTTTGCCTCAATTCTTAGCTGCCATCATCCTAATTCTCTGTACGTTTTCCTTGTGCTTTTGTATTTTAAGTTAATTCATATTCAACTACAATTAGTGAAAATCCATGGGATTCATTTGAGGACTTGGGCCACTAGGAAGGGATATTTATGGGCCACGTGCCTGTCTTCACTCCTTCCACTTTCAACTTAACCTCTCCCTTTGGTTAGAGCTAGTTCCTAGACTTTCTATTTCCACAGAAGGGCCATTGCTAGGAGATCAGCAGTCACTTCTGCCTGCCATTGTAGGTAGACTCAACCCAAAACACAGATATGTTCACAGGGCATGGGAAGGGCTTGCAGATTCCTGCAGATAGATCTAAATTCAGGAGGACAGTCTTTCATTCATTCATGTGGGTTTCTTAGAACACAGAAAGATTACAGATGCTACTGGAGCCTATTAACCCTCAGTGTCAAATAACGAATGGAGATCAAATCAAGGTTCTCTGCCTTTGACTAACTGCTGTGCACCGAACTTCTCTGAGTGTTTTCGGAAGAATAAGCACTATGTGTCACTTTTATTATTTTAACTCAATATGGGAAGCTGAAGTGACTCTTTTCAGGGAAAAATTAGTGAATCACTGCAGTCTATCATTTTTGTTCATTTGTGTTAAGTGTCCAAATAATTTATGGGTAGAAGCGATTTAGTCCTCTTCATGGTTTGATATTTGCATTTGTACCCTTTAAACCCCAGGAACCACGTATTGTAAGAATGTAGAGTCACATATTCCCTCAGTCTGGGGAGAAAGATACGAAAGGAGTAGATATATGTACATTGTGTTCTCAAGAACTAAAAGCGAGCAGGTTACTACTAAAATATCTGAGGCTAGCCTTGAAGGTGTCTTACTTCTCTTCAGCATGTAAAACTCACTTCTGCCTTTAACAACTACCAGCACCACTGACAGGCTGATTGTCAATTCGTCCTTTGCATGGGTCAGCTTTCCATCACTGTGACAAAGCCCCTAAGATAGTGAAATTTAGTACGGCTCATGGCTTCAGAGATTTGCATCTGTGATAACTTGGCCTCGTTGCTTTGGGCCTGTGCTGGTGCAGCATATAATGGCAGGGCATGTGGTGTATGAGGCCTGTACTCCTCAGGACAAGCAGGCATGAGAGAGAGAGAGAG